CTTATACGTTTCCACAACATTTCTTGTTCAATCAGCACCAAACTTGACACAGTGATACAGGATGACATGAGGAAGGTCATGGGGATATGACCCCCCCCCGTCTAATTTCATATCAAATTTCGAAAACAAACTACTAAATCGGCACATCTTGGTACAGTACAGTGATACAGAATGACATGAGGAATGTCATGGGGGTTAAACCTCCGCCCGGCTAATTTAATATATAATTTCGGAAAAAAATGACTAAATCAGCATAACTTGACACAATGATACAGGATGACACGAAAAAGGTCGTGAGGGGGGAGCTAGCCCCCCCCAGTTAATTTGATATTGATAAACTTCTTGAAAACAGTATGTCTTTATTTTCAATATCGGTACCTTTATGTATTTTTATTGCACTTTTAATGTTTATTATGTTAAGAAAAAAATAGAAGCACAATTTCCTATCATTTGTTACAAACGAGTTTTTATTTGACCCATACAACCAGCTAGTTCTAAATAACGTGTAAAATGATCATTCCTGTGGGTCATAGATAAAGCCAAATAGTTCGATTGTGTCCACCCCATTAGTCTCCTGAGCTAATAATATGGGGGGGGGGGGCAGGAGTCAAAGATAAGAACTGCCAATTGACCATCAGTCCACCAGATGTTCGAAAAACAAAGCTCATGGTGATGAATGTACATAATACGGAGGCGAACGGAGAGGAATTAGATGGCACTCAGGATCGATAAGTAAGAACGAGAGAATTGTTATGTAAAGATTATATTTAGTGTTCGTTTCGGGACAAAGCCACATCGGACTGTTTGCCGTGTCCACTGTGGGGAATCGAACCCCAAATTTTAGCGTCGTACGTCCGTAGATATACGGCTGTCCCAACAGGGGGACTTTAAAGATTAAGAGAAGACGGTCGGGATGATGACTATATGGAAATATCGGAGATTACCAATATCACTACATATTCGTTTGCTTAGGATCGGTTATTTACCCAATAACTACTTTTCGTTACGCGGAGGAACACTGACAAAAAGTAGTTAGAAAGTTTTGAATCGTGGACTGAGAGAAAAGTCAATAAATGGGTGTTGGAAAAAGAAAAAAAAAAAAGAACTTGGAAGAAGATCGTAGTGGGATGTCTTTAAGAAGGAACTGTCAAGATTTTGCGTTTACCGCGAGAAGAACCGGACCTGCACGGAGAAAACTTCTTGGAAAAAAAAAGAGTTGAGGAAAACAGGAAGAAAAGAAAGGAAGATCAGCCATAAAAGACAAGTGGGAATTATAGGATTATGGAAATCATCTAGTGAAATATCTGTATAAACACTCGTCATTATTATAATAACGCCCCCCAGTGGCGGACTTACAACGCTAGAAACCTGGTTTCGATACCCGTGGTGGGCAGATAGGCCATTGTGTAGCTTTGTGCTTAAATTCAAACAAACAATTATAAAAAAAAATATTTTTTTTGTCACATTTTGCGGTTCGTAGTGGCTCAGCT